TGGTTCACTAATCCTTTTATCCGCCTTGTGCAAATAAAACAAAAATCAAACGAAATAACTTACCATTATTTTAATCACGCAGATCATAAAGAGAACAACACGCAGTTGTCCCCCTTAGTCATAGGTAGGTAATCATTGCAATCTTTCCAGCAAGAAAAAGTACTTGCCTTAAATGTATTCAAGAGACGTTTAGCGTGCTTCTTAGCTTCATACGAGCCCTTCTCTAACAAACAATCTAATGATTTCTTCAGCACGAAAGATTCACTTGAAAATGAGTTATTAAAGTCACTTTGACGTTGACGATGCTGGTAGAAGTCGAAGAAGCGCCATTTATCAGGTTCTATCTCGTCGAAATAGGAATCCCAGCTTTTAGTTGTCATAATGATTAAAAGACAAAAAATAGGTCTTTGCGATTTTATATGATTGATTATCAAGATCACATGATATCACTAATGTGGCTAATAGTTCGTACTTCGAACGACTACAAATTTTTCCGATGTCACATGCACATGATTAAAAAAGTGGTTTATTATTATTAATGATTTTTTTAGATATATAAAATCGGAAATACTACAGAAGCAAGCGAAGAGGGAGGGAGTACGCGGATCCTAGGCCATTTAATGCGAGTCCCAGCACCACATTATTTTTTGCTCTCAGAATAATTTCTACAGATAAATTTGTTTCTATATCTATTACTAACTACAAGATTCTCAGCCCCATAGATTTTCGAAATAAATAATCCCACCCATATCTACGCTATACATATCACTCCTACCCACACAGACTATGTAAAAGATTATTTCCCGCAAGAGAACTTCAACGAGGTAAAAATAAGCATTACAATATTTCCGATTCACACTTACCACTACGATTCATTTTCATAGCATTCCCTTCCGCCTCGTATTCAAGAAATTTGTTGCTTGATGCGTTATAATAAAGGTGTTTCGACTTTTTTATCACCAATATTATACTGCGCCAAATATCTTTATTTGATATACTGCGACAGATTTCGTGGCATATGCGGTGAAATTTGTGAAGCTACAAAAATAACACTGCGCCGATGAGACACATTCTGGCGATCACGATTTATTCTGCGAATATCAAATATCCAGAAAGGATCAAGAATGGTAATATATCCGCTTTGACTTTAAGCATCTATAAATCAAAAATTTTTTGATTAACATCATGATGACGTAAATCTAGAATCAAGCTGAGAAATCAAACCAACTTACTTGATTATTACTTTGCGAAATATACTCGTTTTGATTGATTGTTGATATTGATGATTAAAATAATGGTAAGTTATTTCGTTTGATTTTTGTTTTATTTGCACAAGGCGGATAAAAGGATTAGTGAACCA